AGATTGGAATTACTTATTGGAATTCTGATAACTTTTTCCTAGGAGTACACATTTAAACTCCACCGGACCGCAACAAGGTGGGGGAAGGGCTTCCTACAGAGATGGAAAGTGGGAATAAAGATCCACCGCCAAAAAAAATTGCTAGGAACAAATGGTTTTAAACTTTAGTTCTAGCCAACTTTTAAAGAGCAGTCAATTCTAAGCCGTAGAAAAAGATTAAAAGGTTTTTAACTTTTATACAACTATGACAAAAATTTGATATAGTACAAAAGGAAAAAGGTAGCCTAATCTCATGTATGAATATGAAGTAACAATTCTGATACAATATTAGCAAATATAATATCACTTTGCATCAAAAATACACTATAACCACGCAAGCTTTTGTCTAGAAAAAACACACACACAGGTGCACATGTACAAACACATAGAATTAGGTCTGTACTGATGGCTCCATGGGGATAAGCATGGTATTGGCAAATGAAAAGGGTATAGTATAATAATTCTATTTTATTAAAGACAAATGTGCCAGTCAGCTTCCATTTCTGTAATCAGCACCTAAGAAAATCAGCCAATAAAGAGGGAAGGCTTATTTGGGGTAAAAGTGCGGGAAGTTTTGGATCACCGTTGGTGGCCCTGTTTCTTTGAGCCAGTGATGGGGCATCACATTACAGCAGGGAGCTGATAATGAGCAAAGCTGTTCACTTCATGACCTGGAAGCACAAACCAGGAAGAGATCTGGGGTCCCACAGTTCCACCTACATGACCCGCAGCTTTCCCCCAAGCCTTTCCTCTCACGGTTCCCATTCCCAGTAGCACCATGTAGGGGACCAGGCCTTTAACACAGGAGCCTTTTGGGGACACTTAAGATCCAAACTGTAGCAACGAACAAATAGAGGTAACACAGTGTCACATGGGACCTTTGTCACATACTTCATATCTTATGTAACAGAGGACAAGAGCCACAAGAAGATATACACAGAGTTTAAAAGCTGAAAGAAGGGACAGAATTGTAAAGTGACAACCCGGGAGAGAGCCACACTCTCTTTCTGTGACTTCCCCTCTCCACCTCATGTGGAGGCCACTGAGGGGCTACCTCATCCCCATCAGACTCCGGAGAGTTGCCCGACCTTGAGGGCATGCCCCAGGGGCATAGAGAAGCACGTGGAGCCAGCCCCATGCACACTGAAGAGGCTGCTGCGTGACCCAGGGCCAGGGAACACACTTCCACTACGTTTGCATGTCTCCCACCTGGGTTGTGGCCATTTGCCTGACGTGGACACAGGAAAGAGGGAGAGAGGTGTTCCCTCTGTGTTGGGAAGAAGGCCAAGGGGCCAGATGGAGCCTGCAAGAGGACTCTGAGCCTGGAATTCTTTCAGAAGGAATCCTGTCCAGGGGCATCCCAAGTGACTGGCCTGTTGCAGACAGGGAGTGGATGCTGGCCAAACTGTTGAGGGAGTGAAGCAGCCAGCCCAGAGCTGAGGTTTGGCTTGTACCGCCATGGCCACAGCCTGAGTCGGCAGAGGCCTCTGAGGAGCCCACAGACCCCATAGAGTGGTAGGCCAGGTAGCCATCACACAGGCACAGGCCAGGTGGGGGCTCCCTCTGCCCACCTTGTCCTAGGCCTCCCACACTAGAGGGTGAGGGCAGCAGCCAAAAGTGGGAGGCAGACAAAGAAGAAGAGGGAGGAGAGAGGGGCTGTTCTTGCCCCTTGAAGGCAGATTTCCCTGCCCCTGCAGGTAAGCTGAACTTTGGATGAAAATGTATTAAAATGGGAAATTCTAAGTTTTGAGTAAAGACTGAGTTTTGCTACATAAATGACTATTTGTGTCCAGCAGAGTCACAGACCCACTGGAGTGTCCACCTCATCAGTGGTAGGGGACAAAGTTCTTCCAGTATGAAGGGACAGCGGGACTCAGATGACTTTGCTCAGATCACACCCCAGAAGCTGTGCGGGCACAGCATACCACAAGCACATGCAGAGCCTGCCCTGGGCGTGAGCCTGGGAACAAGGAGGGAGGAAGGAGAGCAGCCATGGGCAGAGGGGGCCGGGTGCGAAGAGTGGGTAGAGTGCTTGCAGCAGGGAGGCCAGCTCTGTGGAAGGACACTGGAGCTACCTCATGCCCTGACCAGGGTCGGCTGTACTGCTGCTTCTGGAACTGCTAAGACCAGAAAGTATGCGTAGGAATCAGGGTCTCTGGCATCACCTGCTGCTCTCAGACCTAGTGTCAGCCTCAAGGTTGGCACGGCAGGCGGCTGCAGCCATATTGGAGGTCCCCTCTTTCTGTCTGCTCAATGCTCATCTTGAATGGGAAAGCCCAAGATTCTTCCCTCAGTGTCTTCCACGCCCCACAGCACCTTGATTGCTGACAGACAGCATTCCATATTCTATTAAAATGTAATGATTTTGTAGGTTTCTTAGAGACAGAAAGTAAAGACCTTAAGGTCCTTACAACTCATGTGCATCTTGGCACATTCAGTTGTTGTCCCCTACTTAGTGATACTGTTTACACTGAGCTTTGCCCACACAGGTTCTTGTTGGAAGACTTGAAACCAATTCAGGGAGGAGCAGTGACCGTCATGTTTCTGGAGAAACCTCCCAGAGCAAGCAATAGGACCACAGTGCTCTGCTCTCCTGCAAGGTCAGATATCCCAGGGCCCTGTCAGCTGTCCGGTGCAAACTGTTATTTGGATTTTCTCCTCCACTGGAATATAAGCTCAAGAGCGTTGCCTGGCATGTCTACAGTTATCCTCAGTACCCAGAGTAGCGCATAAGGGGGTCAAACAAAAGAAAAAATGGAGAGATGGAATTGTTCCAGGTGAAGGCTCACCTGCTACTAGTACTGCTGGCCAGTATTAGTGTCAGGTACTAGGGATTCAGAGAAAAGCAAAATGCAGGTCTTGTCCTTGAGATGTCACCAGAGAGACAGAGACAGACGAATGAACATGTAACTGCAACAGAGAAGCACTGCAGAGGTTGTGAGTGGGGAAGCATGTGTCCTTGGCTTCAGACAGCTGAGAGGCACTCAGGGAGGGACAGCCAGGGCAGTCAACTGTCCAGTCCTTCCCCGTGTCCTCTGATTCTCTGCCCAGGGCCACATGGGCCCAAGGGGTCGACGTGGTGAGAGGAGCTACTTTGTGCTCTGACCCAAAGGGCCACAGGAATCCAAGGCATGTTGCTTCAGCGTAGCACAGGGCCACTGACTCCTGCCTGCCTTGCTCATCTCCGAAGCCTGAACCCTGGACTCCTGACTCCCCTGGCCGGGCTCTGAGGGCAGTATTGTTGGGAGCCCAGTAAATGCTGGCAGTTTGTGAGGCAGCACCTCAGGAGGCTCTTTGCCCCAGGGTCCAGGGCCCACACTGACTCCTGGAAGCACCTCCAGGAGTAAGCTCCTCCGTCCTTCATGCAGTCAGGCTGACACCTAAAGCAAACCCCCACAGAGACCTGTGTGCGCATGTAAATAGAGTTGAACTCTGTCAGGTCACACAAAACCAACTTAGGGAAAAGTTCTGGGCAGGTACAAATTGGACAATTCCCACAGCTCATTTAAGATTCACACAGGCAGATACTCTCTACTCCAGGGAACATGGGGCCACACTGTGACCCCTTTAGTGGGGGAAGAATCCATCCCCAGAGTGAAAGACACTCTAGACCTGCTCAGAATAAGCCTTAGGAAGCAAGACTCGGAGGACCAAGCACCTCCTCTGTGGGGCAGGTAAAATCTGAAACCTTTCAAGAGTACCACCAATGATAGCATGAAATTCGCAAGGTATAGCATCCAAAAATGAGGAAGCAGGAATATGGGACCCAAAGCCAGGGGAAACTCAGTCCTTAGAAATAACAAATAGGATTGAAACAGGAAAGACTTTAATCATTTATGTGCACATCAGGAATGCATACAAAATTTTTATTTTTAAATTTTATTTTGTTTATATTTGCAGTACTAGGGATTGAACCCAGGGCCTTCCACCTGAACTATATCTCTAACATCCACCCCTTTCTGAGTGATAGAGCCTTAATAAGCTGATAACTTGTGACCCTCCAGCTTCAGCCTACCAGAGTGATGGGATTATAGGCATGCATCACTACCCCGAGCCATACAAGAATTTTTAAAAAATAAAATGAAAAGAGAAACCGAAGATGTAAAACAGAAAAGTTTAAAACAGTGTCTGAAATGAAAGGTTCATGTGAAATTAATTGAAGATTAGACACAGCAGAAGAAAAAAATCATAAAGTTGAAGTCATAATAAAAGACCACCCCTCCAAAAACAACAAGGTTAGGAAAAAAAAAAAAACTGAAAGCAAAGAAGATATCAGGGACCTTGTTATGGTTTGTGTCTAGATGTGCCCCCAAAGTCTCATGCACTTTTAGATGGCACTTTTTTGGAGGTAGCTAAATCTAGAGTTTGTGATTATTCATGGTCTAATGCTGGGATTAAGGGTATGAGTGCTACACCTGCTAGGGTGGATAACCTGCATATAATATAATAAACAGGTCATTGGAAAATTAGTGTAACACACAAGTGACTGGAGTCACATTTGGAAAGGAGGAGGAAGAGACACACACACAAAAAATGCCAGAACTTTTCCAAATTTGATGAGAGTATAAACCCAGAAATCCATAAAGAACAAGAAAACCCAAGCAAGAGAAATGCAAGGGACAAGAGAAGACACCCACACTGGCACTGGTTTGTGGCTCAGTGCTCCTGCAAGCATGTGGAGTCCACCAAGGCCCGGGTGCCAATGGAAGTTGGTACTCTTTGTCCCCATGGGCTGCAAACTCTGCCCTCCTTTGGGAAATCAAACTAGTTAACTCTGGAATTGCAAAGGAGGCTGGGACCACAAGCCCAGAAGCTCTGAGACCTCCTACTGCCCCAGGTTTTAGAAGCTTCCAGCACAGGTACACCTCTGTCTTCTGAGCAGCCCAGAGGATCCCTGTGGATCCTCCAGTGACAGTGTTAGGAACCAGTTACAGGATCCCTTCTGAGGTCTCAGCCCTCAGAGTCCCTGGAAGTGGCCCCTCCCTCTCATACTCTAATACTTTGCCTCTCACACTTTGCCACATCTCAGTGGGAACCAGCTCTTTCTCATCAGTTCACATTAAGGCAGAAGTTACAAAGGCAAAACACAGGGCTCATGCTGTTCCTCCAAACACTCTGGCCCTGCACTGGGCTATCCGTAGCCTGAAGATACCTCCCTGGTTTTGAACTTTGTCTCCCTAGTTTCCAGGAGAGTTGCAGAGTTGTGAATTCTTCCTCAGGACATCTCCATTCTCCCCCATCAGCCTGAGGTCATAGGACATGTGGCTCCCCAGACCAACGTTCATCAGGCTACTATACCCACAACACCTGTGGACCGGAAGTGCATAACCCATTCAGGAAAGTCACTGCCTCCAAATGCAGCAAGCAGGTATTCCTCATTTTTCTTTCTTCATTTCTCAAGAAGCAACCTAAAATCACCAGAACACACATTGTTAATATTTTGCTGCAGCCCACAGTGACAGCTCCAAATAGCTCCGCATCTGTGAGCCACAATTTATCATCCACATTTGCTGTGTTCAATTATTCATATCCTGCAACAGCGAGTCTCCAAAGAGGCCAATGAACTCAAAAGTCATCTCACAGCATGTGGAAGACCAAAAAAGAACCCAAGTATTATAAAGAAGCGTTTAGAAGGGGTAGAGAAAGGGAGTGAAGGGGCAATCAGACAATTCCATAGGAGGTGTTGCAACTAGACAGCAGACAGAATTCCAGGGAGGGGATTTCCCTCTCCCTCCCACAGTTGTGGTCTTGCCAATCTTGCTGCCACATTCTCCTTGGGGGAGGGGCAACCAATTTTATTCCTAGCACAAATATCACCAAACAAGTCATGTTTTCTAGTCATTTGGGGGAATGAATTCTGTCAACATTTCCACAAATATTTATTAACCATCTATGGCATTGTTCCAAGCCCCGTACTTGACCCAAAAGATAAATAGATACAGTTCTACTGCACTGTGGGTAGTCAGGCAATGCTAAGAGAGAGAGAGAGAGAGAGAACAATATGAACTTGAACTGGGGAGGCTACTGGTCCAGTAGTGGGAGGGCATCAGATAGCTTCATGCAGAGAGAATGCTTCATGCACCCTGGGAGGTGAGAGACCTTCAGCAGGATAAGGAAGGTCATGGTAGCTCACTGGACAAAACCAACAGAAACCTAAAGGCATGGAGACACAAATTTCTACTTGTTCCCACTTTGGATTTCAATATGCCCAGGGGATGGGATTGATCCAATTTTCTCATCAAGCTGTTCTATGCAAAGCCTAAGAACCAGAGTGAACTGTTCATTAAAGTATTTTTATATTAGGAAAACATCCGAGGCAACATAAATGTTAAACAACAGGGAAGAAATTAAGTAAATGCAGCAATCTATGCTTCTGGCAGGAAATAAAATAACATCAAAAGTAGTAGAGCTCATTTCATTCATTCTGCATATCTTTGTTGAGCCCAGTGCTCAATGCAGCAGTGAATAAAATCAGCAAGTTCTGGGGCTTACATTTTGCTGGTGGGGAAAAACAATCACAAAAATGTAACAGACTCTTATAGTGTCAGAGCTGGCTCTGTACAGTGAACAAAGCATGTTTAGTGCTAAGGGAAAACAAGTGCAAAGGCCTTAAAGTCAGACTGTGCGTTAAAGAACCACAGCAAACAAGGGAAGGCAGGAGGTAAGGTTGGGATGACAGTCAGCAACAAAAGGACCTTGAAAGGACTTAGTTCATTCTTTATGCCCAAAGAAACTATAAAGTGTATTTCTGGTTTTTGTTTGTTTGTTTGTTTTGCTTGGTTTATTTTCTTTCTTTCTTCATTCAGTTCTTTTTTTTTTTCTTTTGAGACAAGTTCTCACTATGTAGTTTGGGCTGGCCTTGAACTCACCGTGTATCCCAGGCTGGCCTCCAACTCACCAAGATCCTTCTGTCTCAGCCTCCTAAATACTGGGATTCACAAGTGTGTACTACCACACCTGGCTAAGAAACTGTAAAGTTTTGAGCAGGAATATGACATATTCTTAAATTTTTTAAAGGTCCTTCAAGGATATTTTACTGCAAGGGATGAGAATAGAAGGAAGAGGATAGAGAAGAGGTTGATTCACTGATCTAAGTGCAAGCCAGGAAGTAGCTGGAGGTGATAGGACTGATTGGATTAAACATATGATTAATGGTGGAAACTTAAGTATTTATAGCTGGAATGAATATGATCAAAAGAGAAGAAGAAAGGTCAACATGATCCCATGGACTCAGGCCTGATATTTGGGGGTTGACAGAATCATTTACTGCGGGAGAAGTAATGGGGAAGGTCCAATCCACCATCAAACTAAGAGCTGTTTCTGCCCTGTTAGTGACCTACATGGAGATGCCAGGGGGCCTTTGGGGACACACATCTAATCCTCTGGAGAGAAGTCTGGAGGTAGACATTTGGAAGTAGCCAGTATATAGGAGTATTTACAGACCTGTGATCATATAAGATGACCGAGGGTTGAAAGTATCTGTAAAAGAAGAGGTCCAGGGACTGGGACTTGGATGAGGATAGTGAGCACAGGACATGAATAGCAGATCTCACAGCCCGCTACCAGCTCCCCTGGAGGCTTCCTGCAGTGTTGTCTGTGGCCCAGCAGAGTCCAGCCCCTTTCTTCTTGGTGGGAGCACTCAGTTGAACTGAAGCTGCAAGAAAGGTCCGGGAGGAAGAGAAGGGGCTGGGTTGGTCATTGGGATTCTCTTCCAGGATGCTCCCCCCTCCTCACCCCCATCTCCAGTCTTGGTGACTGCACCTGTTTGTGACCCACACAGAGCCATCATGGTGCGGAGGCCATTCACTTACCTGCTCATGCTCAGTACACTGTGCCCTTTAACTCTTACTCCCTGCCCAGGCAGGCACCTGTACTGTCCCTGATGCCTGTAGGATGTGAGATCTTTATGGGTCCTTCTTGCAGTACACATAACAGTGCATGAAGTCCTGGGCTGGATTTCAACTCACCTGGTCCAGTTCAAGCTCAGCCACTCTCCTGGTGGCACCTATGCTGCCCTGGCTTGCAAGGCCTCTCATACCCACCAGGAGCCAAAGTCCTTTGGAACCAAGTCAAGCCTTCTCTTTCTAGAGGCTTCCTCTAGCCTGCTGCTTAGACGTCCTGATTTCCATGTATCTTGGGCATGCATGTCATTCTCTGTCTCACCATTGTTTATGTCACCTCTGCTCCCATTATGGTGCCATTCAGGCATCCCTTGCTGTGTACATTTTCTGCACCAAAGGCTCCTGGAGCTTTGGACACTGTCTTCCATGTGTTAGAAGTGATGCAGGCTGGAGCTGTTTGCACACTCCTTGCCTCTCAGCACGGACTTGGGCCAGGGGGCCAAGGCCTAGGTGGAATAATCAGAGCTGGCAGTGTATGGGAACCAGAATGTGCTCTGTACTTTCTATTGACTACTTCATACTCCTGTGCATACATATTCTCTCTGCTATGGTTTTAATTTCAAATGCTCCTTGTTACAATTTAAATCTAAAATTCCCCCCACCGTGGAAATCTGCCAAAGGGGGAACAGATTTTCCTCTGCCATGCTATTTCTGACTTGGAGCCAGACAACTATGGATGGAAACCATGGGCTAAAATAAACTCCTCCTTTAAGTTGCAGGTATCTGAATATTGTGACAAAGACACTCCCCTAGGCGGAGGTGTATCTCACACATCATTGCATACCTATTTTTCCATGATCCACTTGAACTGTGCACACAAAGGTCAGTAAATAGATATCTGTGGCCTACCTGGCTGCCTTGATTGGAGAGGGTGATACCTTTCTGCATCACAGTCGAGAATCTCCACATCTGTTCTCCCACCTTCAAGCAGCTGCACAAACACAACTCATTCCAGCCTCAGTACAGACTGCCCCACACTCACGACCGCTCTCGCTGTGCATGCTCCACCACAGAGCTTCCTGAGAGGGTGAGCGATGTAGCTAGCGTGCTTCAGGCTGCTGTTCCAACTCACCAGCAAATCTGACACAAGTAGCATTTGGCTCTAATAAACACAGATCTCTCCGTGGCTCCATTTAATCTCTAAATTGCATGCATGAGATGCAAGGGACTTGGAACCGAGCACTGGAGGAAATATACATGCACATTCTAAAAATCCACATCTCCACGAGGAAATGCTTTAATGAGAAAGACACTGGTGTGAGTTTGTGTGCTGGTTCTGCTGATGACCAGAAACATCACAACTGGCAGAACTGGTGGCACTGAGGCTGTGAGCACTGTAAATGGGCAAACAATCCATCCCAGTAACTGGGTAAAGCAGTTATACACCCATCACCACTGTCTTTGCAAATCTCCTCCCAGTGGCAAGCAAGATCATCCCCTGCTAGTTCTAGGACACCGCACATCTTTCTTTTGTCTCTCTGTCTCCTCCCTTAGATTCAGGCAGAAAATTGTAAGAGGTAGTTTAGTTATTTACTTCACAAATAGCAAGAGACAGGGATTAAGATGGTGTTGGGGTGGTTAACCACACTGATAGAACTTGAAATAAGAATAAGCAGTAAGACTTTGAGGTAGAAACAAGTTCCTTAAGTGAATGTAATGAATGGAGTAAACAGCCCCTCCCTACATCTGGGTCAGGGTTCCAGGAATTTAGAACCACTGAGGAAGTAATCAGTTTTCTTTTGAACTTCACATTAGAAAGCCTGAACCTAATTGGTTATTTTAAACCACAGAGTCACCTACAATAGATGACCAGTGGACAAATTCCTGCCTCCTGTTTATTCACTCTGGAACCCCACTTTCTGGGACCCCTCCAGGCTACTAGGAGCTTTTTTCTCTTCTTGTACTTCCAACAAACACTCTCCTAACTTCCTCCTTTTTGTCCATAATTTCATTCTTGGACTTTATGAGACAGTGAGCTCAGTTTTACATATTTTGTGTGGAGTTAGTTGTTTCAAAATCATGTATAATACCTGTTATGCTTAGTACTGCTCAGGGTGCTGGCAATGAGCAAGGTGAGGGGCAAGTATTTCCTGCCCTCCTGGAGCCCACGTTCCTATGAGGGAGGCAGACACACAAGGGACACATAGAGCATATTCCACTGCTTCTGAGAGACTCACACTTGAAAAAAGAAAATCAGGACCAACATCTGGTCTCAGCTCCACCACACAGATGGCTCACCTAATGGAACTAGCAAGGAGGAGACACGGTACCCAGCTCTGTCTTTCTGGCTCCACTGAACACCCAGATGTCGCACCCAGAATCACCAGAGGCGATCTCAGCCCTTCCTCTGCTCTGAGCTGAGACTATCAGAGCATACAGGCTGACATAGGGTAGCGAAAGGAGCTTAGGAACATAAAAGTCACTTGATTCATTGACCTATTAATATCTGAAATCTTCCAGTGATCTAAATGAGGATAATTAAGACTTGGGGGAATATCAATGAGCCTGCATGTCATCAGAAGGGCTGCTGCCTCCTCTCCACGTGAGAATCATAACAGCCCTCTTCATCACACAGGAAATGCCAGTGTCCTCCTCCTCTCCACGGCCCACAGAGCTCTCCTGACCAGTTCAGCCCTATGCTGTCCAAACAGAGACAGCTTCAGATCTCAAGTTGAGGGCGCCATCCTGAGACTCCCAAATCTTGAAAATCAATTGTGAGTCATGTACCTCTGACCAACTGGCTGCAAATCAAGGTTCCCATTGGTCTTGATGAACTTGCTGGGGTGGCTCACAGACTAGGAGAAATAGTCTGATTACTATCATACCATCAGAAAGGATTGAAGTGAGCAGACCAGTGGAGACTGCACGGACCCAGCTTGTGGGAGGCCTCAAGCTGCTGAGTCCCTCTGAACTGGCCACCCTCCAGAACCTTTCAGTGTCCTGGAAGCTCTCTGAACCCAGGCTTCTAGGTTTTCATTTTCTTAATAATAATTCAGTAGTCTGGGATCTCAGCAGATGCCTTTTCTGGCGAATAGCACATGATGTGGACCTTCTGCTCAGGATGGGTCACAGAACTCTACCTGAGAAGACTTCTGTCCCTGACCCTTTCCCAGGGCCTTCAGGACTGCTGCTACATCATCTCAATTGGCCCATCTGAGTAATGGGGATACAGAGAACCTAACCTGTGTGTGAGTATGCAGCTGAGGGGGATAGTGTGTGTGAAGCTTTTTGCACAGAGTCAATTGAGCTTTTGGGGGTGTTAGTGATCACCCCCACACTGCTGATTACTGTTGCCTAGTGCTGGCTGAGGACCACACCCAGGCTCCTTTATTTCTTTCCAGCCAGGCAGGGCCAGTAAACAACTCTCAGGTGTGCAGTGTTTCCTGAGGACAGTTATTCTTTACTGTAACCTGAGCTTGTATGTGTGTGAAGCTTCAAGCTCTTTGCGCGTTATGAATAGACCATTTCCCAAGAACATTTTCTATTTGTCCTTTTTTGTTTATGTTTCCTTTTAAATTCTATCAGAAAAAAAATTCTAGCAGAGCTAGATGTACAAAGTGTATTTTGGAGCTCAGATATCACAAGAAAGCCCATTTTAAGACGATTAGCTTTCCTGTTATTAATAGCAATGTTAATAAATAACCAAGCAGCATTCAGTCCTTTATAAACTGCTCTCATCCTCAAAGGGTCTACAAGCACTAACTACTCTTCCAGCCAGGAAAGCTTTGTGCCTCCCCACTGTCAAAATACTCTAGTAACCACTGATGGAGCCTCAGTTTTATTCCTCTTTGCTGTTGTTTTTAGCAGAGAAGGAAAATTTACTGCTTGGTTATTGCAAGTAAATATCAAATATCTGAGTATTTTTAACCATTGAGTCTCTCTACCTAGGAAACATTAGTTGAATCTGAGAAAAGTCAACCTCTATCCGTCGTGCCCCTTTGGGGTTGAGAACATCTTGTTCTGTTCTGTTTTCACACAGAAATGACCAAGTAGGACTCCAGAGCTGAGCTGGCCCCAGGACTGTCCGCCGTGATGTCCCTGCCTTCCTTCCATCTGCAGCTTCAGCACAATGGCTTCTGCCCCGCGGGAGGGTTAAACCCACGAGAGTGGAGAATGGGACGAGGAGCTGGGTTCCTAACTTGGGTGAATGTTAAGCTCTTTGAGTTTAGATGTAAGTCACCCCATGTGGCTGGTGGCTACCAGATTCTCAGTAAGATGTGTCTGGATGTAAGGGGGATGCATCCATGAGGAAAGTATTTATATGTCCCTGCTTTAAAATTGAAGTCCCGGCCATCATAAACGTGGCTAATATAAAGCGAAGACCATTCCATTGAGGCGGCAGGATAGACTTGCAAGTTGGGAACAGGAGTCAGTTCAGGAACCCACCCGCTGCTTTGCCCAGCCAGATAGGACTGAGGCTTTTACAATCAAAAGAAATGTTCATTTGGGGAAAAGCAAGGCTGAGTTAAGTTCTATAGCTAGAAACTGGTAAAACCAGGCTGGTGGTAAATTCTGCACACCCATTAGAATGTCCAGGCCAAGAGGCAAACTGGCCAGTCCAGTATTTCTCAAGCCTCTTAAAGTATTGTTAGAGCTGGGAAAATGTTCCCTCTGGTGAATTCATTTCTCAACATGGTGTCCCTGTAGCAGTTTACTCCTATCAGAAAAGCCTCTCAGCCTCAGAAAAGGACTTTGGCTCTTTTTGACTACTCTGTAGCTATCTGGATTTTCCGTGTTATGAACATTTGACCTTTAAAATGAGTTTTTAGATCTTTAAAATGAAAATATTTGGCAATTCTGAAAAGTATCTATAACGGTCAGGCATGAAAGCCACAGGAATGGCTGATGAGTGGGCCATAATCAATCTTTAATGTGCCACTCAGAGGAACCTCCACACAGAGGCTGCTGCAAATTAAAGGATGTACATGTTGTGTGTCTCTGTGCCTGCTCCCTGCCCTAGTTCTTCTGCACACGAGTTTGGGGGGGTTTTGTTTGTTTGTTTCTTGTAAAATATGTCTATCAGTGAACAGCTTTCCTGACAAAAGTGTCCATGCCAGGGCCTGGTTATCTTAGCTTTCTCCATTTGTTGGTGGTCCAGCTATGTAAGTGAGAGACACAGAAAACATCTCTGCAAAGAGAGCACAGAATGGTGGGTCCTGGGCTGGAGACAAGGGTTGGACAGGCAGTAGCAAAGCAAAACAAATTCTCTGTCCTCTATGTAAAGGAAACAATCACAGGGATCTATGCCACCACCAGGCACAGGTCCAGAGACACTTGTCCCAGAAATGCAGAGGGACCATGTGGACTGAAGGCCCTCTTGGCCCATGTCATCATGTCTGGGGAGGAAAATCAGGCAATAAATCATTTCCACCCAAACCTCCTGAGAAACCTGGCAGAGTTGGGTCCACTGCAGTAGAGGTTCAGGGCCTGGGTGAGACACACCACTCCTCTTGAACGAGTGTTCCCAGCCTGCTGAGCAAGTCTCCCCAAGCGAAGATGTAGACTCTACTGGGGGAGCAGGTACTGAGAACAGTGAAGGCTAGACAGGAGGTACAATGCATATCAGGTGTATATGTTCTTAGAGGTTTTTCACTGAAGCATCTGAGGAAGCATGTTCAGGGTGGTTGGGGACAACTCTGTGAAACTCAAGATCCTGAAACACCCATCCCACCCGCCCTGTCAGGTGCTCCAACTCAGAGATAGAAGGGAGATTTCTATGGGGTCATCACACAGGCTGCCCTGAAGCTGGAGGATCAGTGAAGGTGGCCACCTTGCAAGTAGGAAGCTGGTCCAAACTCACTGCAATCTTCCACTGGACCACTGGGCAATGCCTTCAGGACGTGGCAGCTGGTCTCCCCAGAACAAGTGACCAAGAGCATTTTAGGTACTGGCCCTGGAAGTCACACTTCATTCCTGCTGTGTGCTATCTGGGCACCAGGACTGACTCACATAGGAGGAAGCATAGAAGGGAGGACAGGGTCCTTAGACCCATCTCAGAAGTA